TTCTCTCTCTTTTTCTCTCTTTTTCTCTCTCTTTTTCTCTCTTTTTCTCTCTCTTTTTCTCTCTTTTTCTCTCTCTTTTTCTCTCTTTTTCTCTCGTTTTCTCTGATTCGCTTGCTTGCTTACTCTTCGTCGGCAGAATTTAACTGGTTACTCGATGGAAAGAATGTGAATTAAAGGATGAAAAGTTGTATATTTTTTTTTCTCCCTCTCTCTCTCTCTCTCTCTCTCTCTTCTCTATCTTGAACGTCATGATTGCGAACCTAATTTTGTTGATTTTTGTTTTTGCATATTTCGAAGGTTTCTTCGATTTGATCTTTTATCAAAAACGTTATTATATACGAAAACTTTTGTTTATTCGAGACGACGAATAAAAGTACCGGTCTTTTCTCTCTCTCCCACCCCCTTCTTCTTTTCTTTTTTGTCCTCTTATTTGCTCGTAAAACTCAGTGGATCCTTAAGACGATCGAAGATGTACAACACAGTAGGTCGGGCATATAAATGAGAGAATGTATTTTTAGCTTGTCGCCTCGTCGTCGCATTCTTTTCTTTTTCGTCGTTGATTCGCGAGATCGAGAGTTTGACGATGTGCCGTTGTACTTTAGAATAAAAAAAAAAAAAAAAAAATTGTTTTTTTTTCTTTTTAAATTAAAAACCATCAAAGAGATTGTAGTGACGAAGAAACGTAATTTAATCGAATTAATAATGTCTTTTTAACAATTTTTTTTCTTCTTCTTTAATCGCAATTTTTGTTTTTTTTTTCTTTCTTCCTTTTTTTCTTTTTATTAGACAAATTAGACAGAAATGTATTCTCGTTTTTACATAAGGAACTTTACTTATATATTTATCATGAACCAACAATTGCATTTTATTTATCGAGTAATAAGACGAAAAACGAATTCGCGAATGCATTTCGCACAATTCTGACCTAAATCGTAAACGGAAAATGTAGGAAGAAGTAACTCTTTGAAAGAAAAAGAGGTGAATAAGATCTTCTTGGAAAGAGTTTGTGTTCCTTCAGGAAAACCGTAAAGCGGACATTGTAAAGCCGAGGAATAACGATTGCCAGTAAACTACGAGAAGACGCGATAAAGTATAAAATCGTGAAAAGGGAGAAGAGATCGCCCTTAACAGAAAAGGGCAACACTTTCCTCGGTATTTCCTTGAAGGGTTCATTTATTTGAGTGCTTCGGTTGAAAAACAAATTTTTCTTTTTTTTTTCTTTATAGTCTCTCTAGTAAAGGACATTAACAAATAAGAAAAAGAAATTTCTATTGGAATCGGGAAGGGGGGAACTCGTTCATTTAATTATTTTAAGTATCATCGAGTAAGCTAACTTTTTTAATTATATTTTTTGATATTCAAATTTTAATATATAATACTTATAATGTTAACAAATACTCAAAATATTCTAACGCAATAAATTGTATTTATTTTCTTTTTTTTTTCTTTAATATATTTCAAAATTAAATAACGAAACGATATTTAGAATTATATAATTCAATAAAAAAAAAAGTTTATTTTTATGTATTTAATAAAAAAAATTTTATTAAAATTGAATCGCGCGCGAATATATATATATATATATATTTTTCGTAACGAATAGTAGATCTGATTCGAGACTGCATTCGTTAACTACAACAATTTCATTTTATAGACATTTACGTGCAATATTCGATAGGACGTTGAAAGCGTCGTTTCTATCTTCGATAGCACCCTTTTTTACGATTTACATCCACTTCTATATTGCCTCGGCATTTTACAGCTTGAGTCTTGGAAAAGGTGCTTGATTAATGACGTTGTAAATAATCTAAAGTATTTCAACGAAAACAATGAATCCGTACCTTGGTGCTTCCATAAAATTTCTTTCTTTTTTTTCTCTCTCTCTCTCTCTCTCTCTTTTTTTTCCTTTATTTATATCTATTTATTTTTGTAATAGGCAGGGGTAAATAATTTTCGTTTAAAAATAACGGTTTCATCTTTCGATTTTATATAAAAGAAATAATTTTGTTTTCTCGGTCGATATCGTATCATATTATTTTTATTTTCTTTTTCTCTATCACTCGTTCAATATAATAAAATCAATGGAAAATAATTTAATGTAATTTATAAAAAAATAACTGAAAAAAAAAAAGAAATAATTATTAATATGAGAAACGTTTTCTATTTCGTTATTGAAAAATATCTACAAATTAAATCGCAAAATCAATCAAAATTTAAATGCAACGACGATATTTACGATTTGTTGCTTAACGTATTTCGTATAGAAAAGAATAAAAGAAACAACAAAACCACCAACAAACAAGTAAACAAATAGAAATGAATTAAAAGAGGCGTGTGTGTAGTAAGGATTGATTCAGAATGAAAAAGAATAATAAATAGAGAAAGAGAAGAAGAATGTGTGGATCTTGACAAGGCGACTTTATTTCTCGGCCGAACCTGTTGCTGGTGTATATCAAGCATTGCCTTCTTCTTCTTATTCTTCGGTCCTTCTGACTTTCCATTGGATCGTTCTTCCTTTTCTTTTGGTGAGTGCAAGAAAGGAAGGAAGGAAGGAAGGAAGGAAGGAAGGAAGGAAGGAAGGAAGGAAGGAAGGAAGGAAGGAAGGA